TCTTAAAAAAAATCTTACTTGAACTTAGTGTGAAATAATTAATACTCAGAATATCAGAGATTATTTTACATCTGTGTAAAAATTAATAATCCAAACAAATAAAATTTGGTAATCTTTCTTGCATGTTAGTGCAGATGCTGTGCATATGCATATATAATTGCATTCAGTTAGCAATTATCTGATTTATAAAACAGAACAATACAATACAATGGAAAAAATCTACTAAATTATTTTTATTTGGTAGCTGTAGACAGTTGGTTTAAAAAAACTGTATTGAGCTAATATCACTAAGTCAGGAAAAAAAACCCCTGGCAATTTCTGGCAAGAAAATCATAAATAATTCACTAAGCTGCTCTATGCCCTCACCTCATACAGATTGCAGCACATGTGCTAATGATTCTGCAGAACAGTCATTAGCCTTACAGAGCCTCTGCAACCATGTATTAAAAAAAAACACAAACCCTCAGCTTTCTATATAATGTAATAAAGATGGACATGTCATCATTTATCAGTGGAAGGGCCAGAGACACAGAAGCAGCTTTATGTGTAATGTCTCCTCAAAATTGTTGACTGTTTGCAAAAACAATCAACTGACAGAGTTGGGAGAACGCAAAAAAAAACCCCAAACCACACTACATGGAAACAAGTAACATAGTTACTTCAGTTAATATCATAAAATCCTTGCATTATGAATTACAGGCATCCTGTGAGTGATATAGTTATAGCTGTTTGCGGTAAAATTTCAGTTGCAACTGTGCAACAGATGAGAGTACGTTCTACCCTGAACAGAGCACTGGTCATTTTCTTTATCACGTTGAATTTCAAAAATCTGCTGATACTAAGCAACATCCATTCTGATGGCAGGTATTCTAATCTTCACTGAATTTCCACAGATCAGATCTGCTGGATTAACATGAATAAAAAGGAGCTTGCTTATGAGTATCTAAAGATATTTTTATGCGTATCTGTATGTGTGTACATGTCTCTCTCTCTCTATACACACACACAAAAAAAGAAAAAAGTTACTAATAAACACATACTCAAAATTCATCTGCAAGAAATTAAATGTTCATCATGAAAAAGTGACCTCTGGGGCACAGGTGAGAAGGAAACACTATTTAAAAAGCTGTTACAGGAGGCTATCAAGTAAGGAGGTATTCTTTCTATGTGAAGCTCTTCCTATGGAAGTTCTCAGGCTGAATTGAAGCCTTCTAATGTCTCCCTGTATGAAGCAATGTATAAATAGCAAGAAACATTTCAGAATATCTAACAATTTTGTGCTGTATTAAAAAATAGCTCGCTGATGACTGCTTAGTACATTTAGGTATTTTCCTTCCCTTTGACCTTTTATTATTGCTATTTACTTCCTTTTCAGGAAAGAGATGACAAGAAAGGGATTTATGCATAATTATTATTTTTTCCCCCATTAGTGAATTAAAAAGGGGAAGAACTAGGCTCCTTTTCAAACACCAGTGTGAATCACACAGATGTTGTACCTATACTAGGAAACTGGGGTCTGCTTGACATTGCTCTTCTCCTGGGACTGATGTAAATCAGATTAAATTCAAGCTTCAACCGCTGACAGCCAGTCAACAAGAGTGCAACAGAGGCAAGGATTTGGACAACTGGCTTAAATTTTAGTAAATGCTTTAAACTTGGTCCTTACTCAAAAGCTTTTCTGCTCTATGGATTGGACAACTCTTCATATTTCTGAATTCACTCATTTGTTTTTTGAAAGAGAGAGGATGTCGTGGTGAAGTAACAAGATTCTAGTTATCACAAATAGTACTAACAACTAAGTACTTGCTCTTCTTTTCTGTACTATGACCAAATTATTTCTCTTGTGGAAAAAGGACAAAGATCATTTGCATGATTTTGGTCTACATTTAACAAAAACACAATGATTGTTGTAAGAGTGTTGTGTGGGCCAAAGTGTAAAAAGGAAAATGGAAAAGAGAAAAAAGGGCATGTGTTTGCATGTTTGTCTTAGTCCTTTCAGAGCTGATTTTCTCCAAGAATTCCGAACACCTACAAAACATCCACTTATTCCCAGGCTTGGACCGTTGCAGGTTGACATGATACCTGCATTTTCACCCTTGAAGAAGCAGGTCACCACCTTGTTCACTTGATCAAAACAAGCAGAAGCACAAACTGGAAAGTCAGCACTATGAAAAGGGCAAATCTTTCAGGAAATAAAAAAAAATCTAGGCAATTAAAACAAACAAAATGTTACAAGCAGCTGCATGTATTAATCTGCTTCCAGGTCCCTTGTTAATACCTTTTCATTCTAGAATAACACCCTCATTTCTCAGATTTTTTTTTCCCCATAAATAGCCCCAAACCATAAAATCTGACGATCTCAAAAAGATAGGGACTACAAAAAAAAAAAAAAAAGTATCCCTTTTCCTTTTTTAACCTCTTAACATAGAAATTTAATTTATAACTAGCAAGTAAAACAATTTTAAGGTACACATTTTTGAACTGTCAGAACCCCTTTCGTATTTCACAGTTAATTAAGCATCCACTCGCTTTCCTCTCTTCCTACTTTATGAAGCTGGTATAAGTTTTTATGAAGACTGGTATAAGTTTTTTGTTAAATTGAAATTTTATCACAGATAAATTGTTTTTAAAGGATGATGAAAAATCAGGTGGTCATTTATTGGCAGAACTGCTACCCAGAGAGGGTGTGGAGTCTCCTTCTCTGGAGACATTCAAAGCCCGCCTGGATGCGTTCCTGTGTGATCTGATCTAGGTGTCCTGCTCTGGCAGGGGGATTGGACTAGATGATCTTTCGAGGTCCCTTCCAATCTCTAACATTCTGTGATTCTGCAACTTGTATCATTATGGACAAATTTGCGTAAGTCTGGACCTGGTGATTAAAGATGTAATGCACTTAAGGTCCACCAGGAACGGTGAAGAGGCTTACTGTTACAATACATTTAGCACTACTGTCAAGGGGCAAAATCCCTATTTCACATACGCATATAAGAAAGTCTTTGCTGTGAAATTCGGAACGCACAGTAGTGAGAGACTTCAATTTCTCCAGGGAAGCAACCATCCCTTTGCATGGAGGAACGTGGAGGGGTTCACTCCCTGTGCCAAAAGCAGAGCGTGGGCCTTTGCCGCACTTAAACTCTGCGCTAAAAGCAGCGACAAAGGTGGCACAGGCCCCTGGACAGTACTTTTTTTGCACTTGAACAGAAAACTGAGGAAAGATCCCATGTGGTTTTCATTGTGAAAAAGTTGCTGTATCTGCTGGAAATTTCAAGCCATAATGGTCACACACTGAAATATTTTTTATCTCCCCTTAGTAGTCTATCATGCACATTCACAAAGATCAGTCCTGACCTATGCTAGTCACACTTCTAGTGCTAGCTGTATCACCCCAACCAACAAAGCACTCTGATACAGTGGACTAAATCACATCATTTCACTCTGAAACTAAAGTGCAGCAGTGTGAGAAAATCCTTTCTCTAGAGAAGGGAAAACAAAGATTTCTGTCATGCGTGTAAGTATGGGGAAATAGAAGGGAGTAAGGAGTAATCTTTAGTAAAATACATGCCTTATAACAGGAGATTTTTCAAGATGACTGTAATTAGAATATAACAACCACAGACTTTAATATTATGAGAAAACTGCTGGATTGAACTAACATTACTAAATTTGGATTAAACACATTCATGTTTCATTTGTGATGACATTTCTACTGCTCTTGGGGAAGAAATCTAATCCAGAAGGCAGAGATAACTCAGTACTGGAAGGATGTTCCCTGATCCCATGATTTTTGGCACTGTTGTACAGTTAGCTCTGTACTTGTTTCTAGGTTCTCTTCATGAAATTAATTAAGAGTCTAAACACAAGTAAATGTGTCAGACTCCTGAAACAGTACTAGGAGCACATCACCTGTCCAACCTTGACATCTATCCCAATTGACGTAACATAGAAGCTTATTTTACTTCCCACTGTAGCAATTTCTCAGTAAACTCAGTGAGTTACCAGAAAGATTTAAACACACTAGGAGGGTGCTGCCCATAATACTATCTAATGGATGTGTGGAAAAGATGAAGGGAAAAAGAAGACAGATTGATCCGCTTTATCTGATCTGAAGAAAATAACAATGACAACGTGACACTGAAATAATCTGGACTCTAAAACATACCGATCTAATCTCACTATGTGTTGGAGAGTAACCTCTTCTGAAATAAAAGGCTGTTTGCTCTCAATGGAATCAGACATTTCTAGATAATCCTAAACAAAAATAAGAGGAAAAACAATCTAAAAAAAGCTAGTATGAAAAAGTATGAAAAGCAACCTTTTACTTTTGAAAATTTGATTTGTCCCATTTAACTTTTCCAAGCCTGACTCAAGCTAGTCATCTGCTATTTCTCTGAAATCAGTAGGAAAACACAGGTACCTACAGAGAGCGAATAATCAACCCTCTCTATCCTTGAATGGAATGAATACTCATATAGAGTGAATCCAGTGGGAGACTATATGTATCTATTTTTAGGTATCTGGAGCTAGTTAAAATAAATATCACAGCAAAAAAATCTTGATGTCCCCTGCAATTCTGAAATTGTATGCATGAATTCTTCATTGGCTCCAACTTAAAAGAAACTGTATACTCTACACAGAGGATTCGACATTTCTGTCACACATTCCCAAATTAAGAGTGTTCTCTGCACTACGGGGCACCATGTCTACTGCCTCCTGCACCTGCCAAACATTATTGCTAGAAGGGATGACAACCTGATACGAATATCAGTTCTAGGCCTCTGGGTCCCACTCACTCCTGCAAGTACACATCCTGAACGCCCTTGACACAGGCAGCACTCACACGGGCTGGTGGGGCTTTGTGTGGGAACGCTTCCCTTGTTCATGACATAGCATCACATTTTAAGAGAGGGTTATACCAAAGCAAAGGCAACCATTTCAGCTCAAGCAGACCACATGCAAGCTGGGAAAAGACAGGTTAGGTAAAAGCCATGCAAATTATATACCTGGTCGTGTGGTGAGTCCTCTGTCTGCAGCTGGGCGGGCATCAACTGGCTCAACTGGGCATGGGCAGAAAAGAAACAAAAAAGCAAACAAAAAATAAACAAAATCCCC